TCTGAAAAGGATTCCAGGAGCCAGAAGAAAATTTCCAACAAACCAGAGCGGTAATGGGCCTAAGAAGGAATCTGCCCTCTGCATCACCCATGTCATGCTTCTCTCTGGCTTTTCCCAGGACTTGGACTTCCCTTCTTTCCTGGCATCCCCACATTCGCATTCCTGTGCATTTACATGGCACTGATGTCTTGTTTGGGAAGGTTTGCCACCACCTTGTCTCTTGGCTGTGGTCCTATTTCAGCTCCCGGCGTAGCCACTGCTCTCTGCCTCCCTGTGTCCATGCAAACCTGCTCCATTGCCTATGGGCCTGGGTTTCTGCATTCTTTCCTGCTTAATGACCCCTCCCCTTTCGTTCTCCCTTTGCAGTTCCTCTGTCTGGGGCTGGGACAGTGGCTGGGACCTGCGCTCCTTACACATTCACTCTACTTAAATCCTGTCTCCAGGTTGCCACAGCATGCTGGCCTCTGGGCCTCTCACCATCGCTGATCTTCTAGAATGCCTCCTGTTCTCTATTTCTGGATTCCTGAGTGACTGCTCATCTGCCTTGACCTTCTGTCCAGTCTCGTCTCTCTGAACTTGCCCTTCATTTCTCCTTGCCCACAGTCCATCACAGCCTGTTACCTCTCGTGGCTCTGGGCCCTCCTGCTCGTCCCTGTCCTGCTGCTGCCTGCTCCCAATATGACAAGTGTGATTATCAAAAGGCCTGTTTTCTAGAGATTTTATAAGACAGCCTGCAATTTCCTATCCTTCGATGGGAGAAAGGCCAGTGGTTCAGGAGCTAGACAGAAAAATGTGAATTGTTCAGGGGGACGTGCTTAATCCTCTCTGATCCAGCTGGGCGTGACATCATTAAGAAGAAAAGTAAATAATACTGGAGGAGACATCAAAATACAATTTAAACTACATGTGAAAAATGAATGTTTTGTACTTAACCAGCCCTTTGCTCTTTGTGTTAGTTTCTTATTGCCGATATAACAATTAAACAAACTTAGTGGCTTAAAAACAACACAGATGTATTACCTTCCAGTTGTGGAGGTCAGAAGTCAGAGCTGGATTCTACTGGGCTGAAAGCAAAGTGTCGGCTGGGCTGTGTTCCTTCCCGCCCCTTCCCTAGCTCCTGGAAGCTGCCCGAATCCCTTGGCTCCTGGCTCCGTCCTCCGTCTGCAAGCCCTCAATCCTGTCTCTCTGACCTGTGTCTGTCACCACGTCTTCTTTGTCTCTGTCCCCTCTGACTCCCTCTTTCACACACAAGGTCCCTGGTGATTGTACAGGGCCCACCTGGGTAACTTCAAGGTCTTTAATCCCAGTCCCTTCTGCCATGGGGGGTGACATATTCACCGGTTCCAGGGATTCGGATGTGGACATCTTTGGGGGGTGTTTTCCTGCTTACCCCACTTTGTGCGGCTATTTCATGTTAATTTGAGAGCTCCACTAATGCCAGAATATGCCTCAGGTGCCGAGTGTTCCACACGCCTTCTCATTTATTCGTCATAATAACTCTGTCAGGTAGACACCGGGATCCAACCTGTTGCATATATGAGGAAACAGAAGCTCAGTGAAATACATTGCCCGCCCAAGTTTGCACAAATTGAACATTTGATTGTGTGTTTGACGATCATTTCCTGTCCTGTCTTTCCCTAGCTCCCTCCCTGTCCTCTTACAAGTATCTAAATAACTGTAGTATCCCGAGACTCCCTGTGACCCCTGGGGGCCAGCGTATCCAGGAGGGGATGCCTTAGATTTGGAAACAATTGCAGACGAGGAGTTGTATACCACACTAGAGGCCCAGTACGTGAAATCGTGCTAGACCCAGACCCGGCTGGCCGAGGGACCTAGCGTCAAGCCCCGCCGGTGCTGTGGGACCCATCAGTGCACCTCCTGGTGACTGGTCTTTGGTCGTTACGGTGTTACAACCACTGGGTTTTTATTATATAGATTGGTTTATGTATTTATTTTGGCACATTACTTTTTTATCTGGGTTTTTATATACTTCCTTATCCTCACTAGTCCATATTCTTATGAACATATACCTCAGTTATTATGGTTTTCATAAATTTTATCAAGTGGATGGCCATTTCAGGCAGAAGACTTGGGTCTTAGTTTAGTGCAGGACAGTGACCCGATATTTCTTGGGATGCGATTTGTGCTCCTTTCACTCAGCTCTCTTCCTTAGGACACCCGTTACTCGTGTGGTGGTTAGTTGCCTGGTCTCCGCTTTCTTCATCAGTCCGTCTCTCCAGTTCCTTTCATCTCTGCTTGTTGGCTTCTGGGTTCTGTTTTTCCAGCCTGGTCACAGGTCGCTGGTTTTCTGCGGCGTTGGTCCTGCGACCCATCCACTTCAAATGCCCTTTGAATTCTGCAGTCGGCATTGTTTGTTTCCTGTAATTCTTCCCTTAGCTTCTCAAGGTTTATTTTCTTTTTTGGTACATTTCCTTTGCCACTCACCTCTCAGCTCCTGTTTCTTAGAGCCCATGTGTCAATATCACTCTTGTTTTCTCCTTTTTTATCCTCTGAATTTCTTAGCTGTTCAAAGCCTGGGGCGGAAAAGCCTGAGGAAAAGTTGGGTGTCTCCTGAGCTGTCTGGTTGGGACATTTCTGCTTATTTGCCTTCCACCTTCTACACAGCACCCCTCCCTCCATGCCTTGTCATTGTCCTTTTTTTTTTTTTTTTTTGGCCCTCAGCTAAGGAATTGATAGCAAAATCGGTGGATCCTGGTCACACCCACACACCCGTTGCTCACACTGTCCCACATTTGGGAATGAGGGGCTCCAGGGGGTGAGTGAGGAGAAGTAGTGACCCCCACATTAGAGCCACACAGGTAGTGTTTCAGGATGGGCTCTGAAGCCGATGCCCTGCAGTCAGATCCCGGCTGGGCCGCTTCCCAGCTGTGCAAACTTGGGCCTGCAGTGTCACTCCTCGAGCTTTGGCTTCCTCATGTATACAGACGGATGATGTGCGCCCACCTCAAGGGCTTTGGTGAGGCATTAATGGGAAGGCATGTAAAGCAGCCCGTAATAGTGCATAGTCACCATTAGCTTAAAAAAGAAAGAAAACAGTGTCCATGCTGTTATGAGTAAGTCAGGTTAGACGACCTCCACCCATCACCCATCACCCACTCCTTTGTATCCGCCACGGTGGCCCTGCAGAGCCTTGCCCAACAGCGGGGGAAATGGGCTCTTTGGCGTCTCCATCTCTTCCCAGCCCTCCTCTACATTTGGCCAACTCGTCCTCAAATCAAGGCACATCCCTGCAATTTTCCAGAATTTCCTCCACTTCCGCTGCACTATTTTGGGAAGGGAGATGTGGTTGGAGCCTGGGCGGTTCCCCATTGTCTGATTCTACTTGTGCCCCGAGGCAGGTGGTTGGCAGGTTCAGCCCCAATGAGCTTCCTTCCCCTCCCATTTCCTTGTGTTGTTGTTTTTTTTAATCGTCTTGTTGTTCAGTTTCTGGTTTGGGAGGGGCTTGTGACTGCCTCATATACTGCCATGGCTTTTAAAAAATACCAGTTCTTTTATTATTTTCAAGTATAAAAACAATACATGTTTGAGGCATAAAGTCCAGAGAATGCCAAAAAGTAAGTCATTATCACCTGCAATCAACCTGTCTAGTCTGGAGCAAGTCCTTGGCTTCCTGCTCATTACCCTCCCCTGCGGTCCCACCTCAATCACCTGGCCCCACCCATCGCAAGGTGGCTCTACCCTCTCTGGTGTCCCAGTCCTGACACCTCACGAGGGGGCGGTGGAAGACGACATGGGTGAAAGTGGGCCGTGCCTGTGGTGGAACTGTTTTCTTTGTGCAGGAAATGAAGAAGACTTGGGGACATGGGGAAACTAATAAATCACAAGGCTTTCCTAAATCCAACCAGACAATTAGAACACTCAATTTTACTTTTGGGAAAAATATTTAAATGAAGGCAGGCTGTGAGGAGAAGGCCTGAGTGAAAAGAATGCTCGGCTTGAAGTTGGAAACCCTGGATTAGGGACTTATTTGCTCCACATATTTATTTAACCTCGCCACCATGCGAGTTCTAAGAACAGCAATAATAGACACTCAAGCAAGTCTGTGAGGATTAAAAAGGAGATTCAGGGTGCTTAGTAAATACTCAAACTGCATCTTCATGCCTGTGTTTTACCTGTGTGTGTTTTACCAGTTTTTATAACCTGCTGCTGTAAAAGGATCTCATTCAAACTCAGAATGTCACCCCTACCATCCAGAAGGGTAAAGGCAAAAACGCTTGTGCAGTCACCTTGATTCTGTCTTGTCAAGAGCTTTCCTGGCAGGGTGCTGGAGATGAAAAGAGCAAAGTCCCGCTCTCCGGGAGCTCCCAGGACACAGTGGGAAGTTTGTGCCACACACAGAGTGACTAGCTCCCAGAAGGTGGTGTGACAGTTGGGGGAACTTACCTGAGAATGTGATGAGCCGAACTGGGTTTTAAGGGAGAGGGAGTATCCCTAGGGACACAGGAGATCCCAGGCAGAGGAAAGAGCATATGCCACGGAGGGGAGGTGCTGAAAAGCCCCCGTCCATACTCTACCCTGGGGCCAGGTTGGTCCTTGGTGGGTGGGACTCAGAGCCTGTGTTCGGGGTACCAGGACACCAGTATGGGACTGGGAGCGAGGCTGTTTTTGATCACTTCATGGGGTGGGTTTTTACTAATCTGTGCCTGCCTTTGGAGGAACTGGGTGGATCCTGCTTAAGAGGTGAAGGAAAATGGGAGGAAGGTTACGGGGCTAAGTGCCAACCCCCAAATGCAAGCTGAGCAAGGAGCCAGGTGTTTAGAAGCGGCCTGTGCCCTCTCTCATCTGCCCTCTTGAATCAGCTCAGCAACAGTGTTTATTCTTGAATCAGCCAGCCAAGGAAACTCCTTATGATGGAAAGCCACGCCTGCCCCCCTCCCCCACAGCCTTCCAGGGCGTGGGATGGGTGGAGCCTCTAGGCTCCAGGTCACCTGGGAGCACTTGATGATATGATTTCTCCTCTCCCTTCCTCTGTCCTGCAGCAATGGAACGGCAGGGACACAGCCCTCATGGTCACCCGCGTGGTCAACCACAGGCGCTTCTCGGCCACGGTCAGTGTGGCGGACACTGCCCAGCGGAGTGTGAGCAAATACCGCTGCGTGATCCGCTCCGACGGTGGCTCTGGCGTGTCCAACTACGCTGAGCTGATCGTGAAAGGTGAGTGCCACCAGCCCTGCCTCTCCCCACCCGGTGGGTGCACGAGGGTTTCTTGGCTAAACCCTTGCAAAGGAGGGATGAAGGGACCTTTGCTCATCCGCTGCTTCTCCTCCTCTCATTCAGGAGCCATAGACACAACGTCCAATCCCACCTCCCCCTCCGAAAAGAGAGACACTGTTGTAAAGTCATGCAATATTGCCTTGTTATTCAGAGTTGGGTCTTACTTGTAGGATCTATATGTTAAAGTCTGGGCATATGGAACATAGAAGACATCTCCGCATTCGGCTTTGTGTTGCACTTAAAGTTAGAAGAATCCATGTCCTTGTGTGTTGGTGGCATTTTGTTGAAGCGTTCAGAGAATGCAGTCATTTCTGAGGGATTTTTTAAAATTGAAAACATGATATAATGGCAGTATTTTGGAAGGACTTTTGAAATAAGTAATTCCTCGCCCCACTGGCCTTGATTTAATTCTTTTCAGTTTTCCTGTTCACCTTGAAGTAGCATTGATACACCTCTAGTGCAATATGCTCATCGCTTCCCTTTCTGCTTCTCAAGGAGCTGGGTATCCCGCTTATTCTTGGAGGCCTGTGTAATCGTTGTAACGCTTAATGGCTGTATGCTATTTCATCCAGTGGATCACCTAGTATTTTCAAATCTGTTTGTACGCCTTTAGGTAATTCCAGGTGTTTTTGTTTTTTGCATCTTTCCTCTGTGCGTGCAACAATGAACTCCTCAATGGTGTTCCTCAGAAGAGAACATTTTTATTCTATTGAACAGGATTATTCCCTTGGATAAATTCCCTGGGGGTAGAATTGGTGGGCCAAAGAATATGAGCATTGTTATGGATTTTCTTTGTTTTGCAATATTGCTTCTGCAAGAAACGGTTTGACACGTTACACTGGCAACAGCAGCATATGAATGTACTCATTTCCCAACGTTACGTTCACCGATTAAAATTTTAATATAGCATAATTTAGTGGATGAAATAATGAAGCTGTTCTTCTTGTGTTAGCTCTGGAATGGTACCTGGTGTGTTTGAAGGTAAAAACATGATCACCCCCTCGTCCCCAGAAGGCTCCTGAGTGTGTTTCCTTGGCTGGTATGAAACCCTTGCCCTTTGTTAGCTGGCCCCGTGGAACTGGTGGCCTGTCCTGGGCCAGACTGGGGTTTGCAGTCTGGAATTCTCTCTCCTGGGCTGTCGTGACTCTGTGTGTATTCACATGGCTGACTCCTGGCTTCCCTGGCCCCCCATTCTGGTGATTGCATTCTTACATCACCCTGTCTCTTTTTCTATATAGCAACATCACACTTCAACATTACAATTTTACTTGGTTTCCTGGTAATTTCCTGTCTCATCCTTCAGGATATAAGCTCTGTGAAAGGAGGGGCATCTTGGTTCACAGTAAGCCCACAGAGCTTAGCGGAGAGCCTGGCCCAAGTGCTGAGCACCAGAACCATATCCATATGAAACCGCGAGTTTGACTGTGTGGACCTGCACAATCCTTCGTTTCAGCAGGCTCACCCTTAAAACATTTGTTGAATGATGGATGAGTGAATGGATTATTGGCCTCAGCAGGAATTCATTTCATCACCATAATGCCGTGAACACTTAGGCTGAAGATCAACAAATTAGGCAGTCATGGACAAAACAACCAAGAAGGAAAAAAAATCATCTTCAAAATCGTTTATATCGAGTGCCATTACCATATAAAAGAAACCACATTTTGATTGCATTAGGCTCCTATCTTCGGGTTTTTTGGTGCCAATAGATAGATTTGTGTGACAAGTGGCCTTTGCAGGCCTTTCAGGTACTCAATGAATATGTAATTTCCTGAGCTGTCCCCTCTGGAGCTCATTATACCTTTTGTGCGGTGGCCCTCCACACTGGAATAGAAGCCCGTGGGACGGCGGACTGTGTTGTGTCATGCTCCCCGCACTTTCCACATGCCGGGCACAGTGTTGGCCCTGAGAGAGGGAGTGAATGACTGCGAGAGCGAGTGTAGCATTCTGCACTTGCACATCAGGTGGATGGAACCCAGTTGTGGGGGAGGGGTCTGGAAGGCCAAATGCAGAGAACTTTGGGGCAGGATGTGAGTCCCATGGTGGATCATTGTTGCCTTTATTTGGAGGGGTGGCCAGGGTTGAGGGGACAGTGATCGATCCTTGGCTGGCTGTGCAGCCTGGGCCAGAGTTCCGCCTGCAGGGAGCCATGCGCTGGCCCCATTTGTGAACAAGAGCCAGCAGCCACTGCCGCTCTGAACCCCTCACCTACAGCCTCCTCTGCTGTTTTAAGAGAGGTGCTGGGTGGCCTCCTTCCCAGTCTCCTTCCAATGGCGATGACAGGTAGGTGCTCCCTGCAACGGGGTCCCTTTTGATTACACCTTGATGGAATCCTTTATGGGATATCACTTTTTCAGTGCGCATTCCCCCCTCCCCCCCACCGCCCCCCTTCCTCCATGTGTTTTCTTCCTTTTTACATGCAGTTGGTGGGAAGGTAGAAGCTGGACACCTGACCCAGGTGCTGATTGCTATCTGTGTGGCCTTGATGCAATCATTTAAGGCCTCCTCTGCAAAGTGGGGACCAGAGCTCTCTCCCCATACACTCGTGTGCTGAGCATGTGAAAGGGAGGGAGGGAGAAAATACAAAGTGGGCCCAATGTGTGCTTGGGAACATTTGGGTCATGGAGTCCACACTAGGTCAGACTCCCTAGCCTGCTCCCATCTCCACCATCACTAAGGCTAAGCCAGAAACCTGGGACAAAGGAAAAGTGGCTGTTCCTGCCTGAGCTCTGCCCGACCACGTGGGCCCCACTCCACCTGGCATCATTCATTCAGAACTCGGGGTTGGGAAGTCATTGTGCCAGGGGGTGGCAGGATCTGGTGGCCCCTCTGATGGCGTTCACAGCAGGTCCTTGCACTGGGCCAAGCAGTGAGGCCCAGCCTGCGTCTCTGTCGCTTCATGCACAGGCGTGGTTCGGGCTGCCTTGCTCACGGCTAACGTGCTATCCTGGGACTGGGAGCATCTGTGCTTCAGAAGACGCCGCCTAATTTGAGTGCAGGTGATATCAAATGCTCAGCGCGACGCACAGATCGAAATGAAAGCAAATTGGAATTACTTAATTCTGACGGGCTGTTTATTGAGTTGTGATAACGTACCTGGGTATATATTAGATTGCTCTGTAATTGAGGTTTCGCTCAATTGACAATCCGGCCCCTTGACCTACCTGTTTCAGACCAGTGTTCACAAATGTGCTGATTCTCTTCTCATTCCTGGTCTCCAACTCTCTTTGATTTCAAGGCATCTTAAGTTATCCCAAGGATGGAGTTCTCTTCGATCAAAGTGATGCAGACGTGGTCCTGATGAAAATTCCTTAATGTAAAAACAATGTGTCATGGGTAGTGATTTTTAAATCAGGCTCCCGGCTCCATTTAACAACCTTCCATGGGCCCAGAGCCCTGTTACCAGTATGCAGATTAGTGCCCAGAAGAAATCTAATGCTGCTGCTGAGTCAGCTGTTCGGATTTAAGTAATGATGCGACTTCCTGCCAGGGCAGCTGGGTGGTTTCAGGCGAAGGGATTTGGATGTCACCACACTTCCAGTCTCAGTCCTGGCCTTAGATCCTGTATTCTCTCTGGGCCTCAATTTCCTCATCTGTTCAGTGGGGGTGAATAGGTTTAATTGGGTCCTTATGAGGGGAAGACATTATATGTCTAGATCCTGGCACAAAGTGGACACGCATGCAGTTACAGCTGTCACTGTCCATCATCATATTTTACTGTCATAATAAGGGGTGGTACTCGAGTAGGTGGTTCATGTTTCCTTGTCCTGCTTAAAGGAATGATAAGCTGTACTGTAGAGATTTAAATTTAGTTATCTGCAGGTCTCTCTCCTCTCCTCCTCTGAAATGGGGTTGATGTCATCAAATGCAGCATATTGGTCAAAATCAGTTTCAGAAATGCTTCATTTATGTTGCACTGTCTTGTTTTTAATTAAAAAAAATTAAAAATACTAAAAAATATAGTTCCAATATTTAAATCCCTCTTGAAATAGTATCAGGTTTGGCCACGTTGAGCCTGCACCGGTGGGTAAGTGTGGCCGCTCCATTCTGGGGCGTGTGTTTCATACTCGCTCACTTCCTACTCTTGGCCTGTTTTGCTCACATAACTAGTCTAATTGCTTTAGGCATTTGAGTTTTCAGCCTCTGGTTTACAGATTTCATGGCTGTAGTAGCTGATTTGTCCCTGTGTTCATTTGTGTAATAGTTTATTGAGCCCAGCTATGTGTTAGGTAGTGTGATAAGCTCATCGTGTACTGGAAAGAGTGATACAAACCTATAATGCATGGCCATCTGGTTTGTGTCTGGCACCTGCTACACTCTCTTACTAATCCCATCAACCACTCTTTGCTATACGTGCTGTTAGTATCTCCCTTGTACAAATGAAAGAATGGTGACTCAGAGAGGTTAGGTAACTTTCCCAACATCACACAGCCTGTATGTGGCAGAGTTAGGATTTAAACCTAGACTTGCTTGTGCCTCAGGTCATGCTCTTTCTTATACCACATTTATTACAAAATCCAACATGGGAGGCCCTGTAATCAGGTGTGAGCTGAGGAAAAACAGAGGGTGGAACAGCTGATGCAGTTGGGGAGTGTCGGAAGGCTTCTAAGGGCGGCCCCATCCATGCTGGACAGCCTGGGTCACAGTTGTGAGACATGAGTGGGTGGATGTTCAAGTCTGGGAATGTAGGCAGGGGCATTTGAAGAGCAGAGTTGGAGCTTTATTCTGTGGAAGTCAGAGGGCTCGGATGGAGCCCTCCATGCATGGTCCACGACAGTGGTGCACACACTCTCTTGAGGCTGGACCTCTGCATCCATCTCTTCTCTTCCTGGTCCTTCCTGTGCCCAGTGGAAAGTTACTGTCAGGCAGTGGCTGTGGTGAAAGGCATTGCCTGTGTTTGAAGAGGAGTGAAGGTCAGAGGCATACGGGATTGGGACCTC